AGACAAAGATTATAGACTGGACTATGAGACATAAAACGATACTTGTAAAGTGTTCTTAGCTCAAGTAGATACCTGAAACTAAATGGGCAGCTCCCGTCCAGAGGTGAGACGAGAAGGCAGAGAGGGTCAGGAGCTGGCTGAATGAACATGGGAAATCCAGGGTGGAAAGGAGGAGTGTGCTGTCACAATACAGGGAGAACAACTAGGGTTACAAAACAATGTATGTATAAATTTTTGTATGAGAGACTAACTTGAATTGTAAACTTTCAGTTAAAGCACAACAATAAAAAAAAAAAACTGGAGTGGCTATATTAATATCAGTCAAAATAGACTTCAGAGCAAAGATTATCAGGGATAAAAAGGGTCATTTCACAATGACAAGTAGGTCACTTCTTCAAGAGGTCATAACAATCTTAGATGACAGAGCTTTGAAATACATGAAGCAAAAACTGATAAAACAGAAAGGATAGACAAATTCACAATTATAGTTGATTTCAACACCCCTCTCTCAAAAATCTGATATAACCAATAGAAAAGCAGTAATGACATAGAAGACCTCAACAACACTGTCAACTAACTAAACGTAATTGGCATTTATAGGAACTCCAACCAACAAAAGCAGAATATACATCTTTATTAAGTGCTCATGGAACATTTGGCAAGACAGAACATGTCTTGGTGCATAAAACAAGTCTCATGTTTAAAAAAGATTCATTCAAATAATAATAATAAAAAAAATGTTCTCTGACTATAATGAAATCAAATTAAAAATCAGTAACATGAAGATTTCTGGAAAATCCCCAAACATTTAGCAATTCAACAACACACTTCAAAATAATCACAAGGAAAATTAGAAGTATTTTGAACTGAGTAAAAATTAATACATGATATAGCAAAATGTTTGGGATGCAGCTAAAGCAGCACTCACAGGGAAATTTATAGCATTAAATGCTTACATTCAAAAAGAACAAAGGTCTCAAGTGAAATGATCTAAACTTAAACCTTAAGAAACTAGAAAAAGAGCACATTAAACCCAAAATAAGCAGAAGAAAATGAACAATAAAAATTGTAACAAACAAGAATAAAATAGAAAACAGAAAAACAATGAAACCAAGAGCTGGTTCTCTGAGAAGATCAGTAAGATTAATAAACCTCTAGTTAGGCTGATCAGGAAAAAAGAGGAGACACAAATTAACAATATCAGCAATGAGAGATGAAACCCCTACAGATCCTAAAGGAAGTAAAAGGATAATAAGAACATTATGAACAGCTTTATGCCAATATATTCAACAACTAAGATAAATTCCTTGAAAGACACAAACAAAGCTCCCTAAAGAAACAGATACCCTGAATAGCCCTGTATCTATTAAAGAAATTAAATACGTAGTTAAAAACCTACCCAAGAAAACTCCAAGGCCCGGATAGCTTCCCTGATGAAATCTACCAAACACTTAGGGAAGAAAAAACACCAATTCTATACAAACTCTTCCAGGAAACAGAAGAGGAAAGAATACATCCCAACACATTCTATAATGCCACCATTACCCTAATGCTCAAACCAAAGACATCATAAGAAACTACAGACTAATATTCCTCATGAGCATTACAATTCTTTTAAAAATTTCAGCAAGTCAAATATATAGCGAATCATGACCCAGTGGGATTTACCTCAGGAATTCAAGGTTAATTTAACATTCAAACACTCAACCTGGTAAAGGATATCTTTGAAAAACCTACAGATGACATCATACTTAATGGTGAAAGACTAAATGCTTTTCTCCTAAGGGTGGGAAAGAGACATGGATGTCTACTCTCACCACATCTATTCAAGAATGTAATGGAGGTCCTAGCCAGTGTAAATAGTAAGAAAAGAAATAAAGGGCATACAGACTGGAAAAGAAGTACAACTGTCTTTATTCACAGATCACATGATTATGTCTGTATAAAATCTTAAGGAATCTTTAAAAAAAGACTACTAGAATAAGTGAGTTAAGCAAGGTTACAGGGTACAAGGTTAATACACAAAAATTAATTGTATTCCTATATTCTAGCAATGAACAATCAGAAGTGGAAAATTTTTTTAACTGTCATTTATAAAGCTATCAGAGGCATGAAATATTTAGGGATAAATCTGATAAAAGATGTGTAAGACATACATTGAAAACTATACAACATTGCTACGAGAAATTAAAGATGATCTAAATAAATAGAGAGATATACCTTGTTTGTGAGTTAGAAGACAATACCATTAAGATGTTGATTTACCCTAAATTGATCTATAGATTCAACACAATCCCAATCAAAATCTCAGGATTTTTTTTTTTTTTTTTTGTAGAAATTGATTCTAAAATTCATTTGGAAATGCAAAGGACCAAGAAAGGTCAAAAAACTTTGAAAAAGAAGAACAAAGCTGGAAAACTCACCTGATTTCAAAACTTGTAAACATAGAGTTAGTAATCAAGACATTGTGGAATGGTGTTAAGATAGACAAACAGATCAACAGAACAGAGAATCCAGAAGTAATCCATACATACATGGGCAACTGATTTTTTAGAAAGGTGCAAAGGTACAAGACAACTCAGTGTAGAGAAGACTGTCTTTTCAACAAATGGTGTGGGAACAACTGGATATCCATATGCAAAAAAAATGGACTTCAATCCATTTTTCACCACAAACAAAAATTAGCTCAAAATGGATCACAGCCCTCAAGGTAAAGCTAAAGCTATAAAAATTCTAGAAGAAAATACAGGAGTAAATCTCTGTGACCTCTGATTAGTGAAAGAGTTCTTAAAACAACACCTAAAGCATGACTGATAAAAAGAAATGAATCGGAATTCCTCAGAACTAAGAGTTTCTGCTCTTTAAAAGACACTGTTAAAAGAATGAAATGATAAGCCACAGACTAAGAGAAAATATCTGCAAATCACATATTTGATAAAAGACTTATAGCCAGAATACATATAGAACACTAAAGACTCAACAATAAGAAAACTACTCAATTTTAAAATGGGCAAAGATTTAAACAGACACTTCAGCAAAGCAAATAAACAAAGGGCAAATAAGCACATGAAAGATGTTCAACATCATTATTCCTTAGGGAAATACAAATTAAAACCACTATATTATACTTCTACACTATACACGTATTAGAATGGCTAAAATTGAAAAGACTGACCACACCAAGTAGTGGGAAGGCTGTGGGGCAAACGGGACTTTCATTCACTACTGGTGTGAAATGTAAAATGCCACAATCCCTTTGGCAAGCAGTTTGGAAGTTTCTTAAAAAGTTAAACATACACCCACCATAGGACCAAGCCAGTCTGCTCATAGATATTTACCCAAGAGAAATGAAACCATACATCCTTACAAAAACTTGTTTACAACTCAAATGTCCATCAATAGGTGAATGGAGAAACAAATTGTGCTATGTCCATACAATGGAATATATTCAACAACAACCAAAAAAGGGCATGATACATGCAACAACATGGAATAATGAATAATGTCAAAGTAATTACGCTGAGTGAAAGACACCAGAAAATAAAAGAGCATATTCTATATGATTCCACTTACATAACATTCTAGAAAATGCAAACTGATTTCTAGCATATCAGTGGTTGGCTAGGATGGACGGGATGAGCGGTGGGGAGAGGGGGAATGAAGTGATTTCAAAGGGGCATGAGGAAACTTTTGGGGGTGACGGATCCATTATCTTAATTGTGGTGGTAGTTTCAACGATGTATACAACTGTCAAAATGTATCAAATTGTTTATTTAAATATGTGCAATTTTTTTTTCTTTTGTATATCAATTATATCTCAATAAAGCTGGGAAAAGAGAAAGAGAGGAAAAGAAACTACCAATAGCATAAAAGATAGGCACCTAATTCTGGACACTGGCAGCTTCTGACTTTTTGTCTTGGTCCTCTCTTGCTGTCCAGGTGCCAGTGCTGGGTTTTCATCCACACCCTACTTTCATTAAGTGCAAAAGCGATAGGAAAGCGTCTGTGGGGAATGAATTATGGACTTAGAAAGGGAGAAAACAAGGGCAAACAGAATGTTCACTCTGTAACTTAAAACTCCTTGGCATAACACCTTGGTGGTGAGATTCTAGGTGATTTTCCTTTAGTTTCTTTGAATTTTTCTGTACTTTCCTAATTCTTTATAAGCATTACTTTGCTCTTTGGAGAAAAAAAAGTTTTTAAAGAATCAGTTTAAATTCATCATTAAATAAAGAACTATTCAAAAAGAAACCAAGGGGTTTTTCACCCTGATAATTCATTAACAGTGCCAGAACGTACATACACACACACACACACACACACACACACATATCTGAGCATTAATTTAGATTTAGGAACAGGTAGATTTCATTCAAAAGGATGAAGAATATTTACAATATATGTAGAAGGTCAAAACCTCAAAACATGGATATGTTCCAAATTCTGAATTTTGCTGGCCAACCACTGAGTTGGCTTTCACCTAATTAGAGACACTATGATGTTTTAACTGATGTCCTGCCCTTTAGGTTGAAGACTGAATTCTCAAACTCAGAAGGGAGTACTGTTTCCAGGAGCTTGGGAACAATAGAAAGAGGGGTCCTCACCTTCAGGGCTTACAAGCCTGTAAATGCATGAAGCCTTACAACACAGGATCACTGCCAGGACAGTCAGGATCTTAACACTGCTTGTCCCAAGCTGTTGGTGTCAGATATCTGTCACATTTTTTAGCACATGCAGAAAACCATCAGGGAATTCAGAAATCCAAAATGACCATAATCTGTTTCTTTTTAGATAACTTCACAGGTCAAATTGGGTGCAAAATGCTTTTTATGCTACCTGAACACAAATTGTAAGATTTCCTCTTGGGTTTCTAAAGAATACAAATCAACCTCTAAGTGATCATAGAATTCGAGGCTCAATTCTTCCCTTTCATTTCAGAGAAAAATGGAAATAAGTTAGGATATCACAATACTAAAATGCACAATAACACCAACACTTACATGTCTTGGAGTGTTCATGTGATAGCATGTAATTGGCGAGAGGCGGCGTGTAAGTTAAACACTGCAATGCTGCATTGGCAAAGCAGGTATTGCCCAAATTCTGGAGCCCAGCTCCAACTCTATGAGTCTGTTGCCACTTAAGACAGATCTTCTCAGATGGGAAGAGAACTTTTTGCGGAGGAGCAATGCCATCACCTAGGACTAGAAAAATAAACAACATATATTTAAAAACAAAGCTTGGCGTGTTTCTAAAGTTAAATAAATAGCAACACATCAAACCTGAATCCGATCAAGATTCTAAATCCTGTTACCAGTGTACTGGAAATACAAGAAAGAAAAGGAAATTTTAAAAGAAAGACTGTGGGAAACTCCACATGATTTGATTTCTTCAATAAATAAATCACAAGAACAAAAAAGGGGATTCAGAGATGAAAAGCAATTTAAGACGTGCATCCACCAAATACAAAGTGTAGACCTTGTTTGGATCTTGATTAGAACCAATGTCAAAAAACTGTATGACAACCAGGGAAGCGTGAACACTGACTGGATTTTTAATATAAAGACATTTTTTAAAAATCCTTACTTTTTAGATGTACATACTAAAATATTTATAGGTGAAGCATGAAATCTTGGATTTGCTTTAAATTGATTGGGGGTGGGAGAGTAAATGGATAGAGGTATAGATGAACTAAGACTGGCCATGAGTTGATAAATGTCAAAGTTGGCTGATGGGTACACGAGAGTTCACAATAATTAGACTCTCTTCTTTTATAGCTATTTAACATTTTCCACAGTAAAAAGTTAAAAAAAAAACAAAAACAAAAACCATAATTAGAAAGTACAGGATAAGTCAATTCCCTATAACATTTGCTATGGATGCTTATATTCAGTACCCCTACTATCACTGTCATCCTTGCCAACATCTCACTTATTGAGCCTTTACTAGCCAGACAGTCTCAATTTTAATGACTATTATATTGTCACCCCTATGTTACCAGTAAGGAAACAGGCTTTGAACTCAGGATGTCAGGTACCACTAGGCCACACTTATAAGCTCCCCCTTATCCACAGGGGATACTTTCCAAGACTCCCTGTGGTGCCTGAAACCTCAGATAGTACCGAACCCAATATATACTATGCTTTGTCCTATACATACATATCTATAATAAAGTTTAACTTATAAATTGGGTACATAAGAGATTAACAGCAAAAGCTAATAAAATGGAACAATTATAATGATATACTATAATGAAAGTTACGTGAATGTGGTCCCTGGGCGGGACAGAGTGAGATTTCATCATCCTACTCATTTAACATTTTCAGACCACGGTTGACCACAGGTGACTAAAACCACAGAAAGTGAAACTGCGGCTAAGGGGGGGCTACTGTACTTAGTTTTAAAAGGTTTTATCTCTTTTTAAGAATTATAAACAGTTTACTAATGACTAAGCATGTTACTAGAACTCAGGTGCAGCTCAAGAAACAACTTATTTAGCAAAGTTCAGAATCATTCACAGTAAGATTAATTTTTCAAAGGCTTGCCAGTTCCTTGGTGTTACTAAAGGGTGAGACTGTAGTAGCTGGTTCTCTATTTTAACAGAGGTATTGGTGAGCATTTAAGTAAGCAAAGGTAGGCTTCAGCATAGTGGGGAATGGGAAGCAATATCAGGTAATGAGAAATCTATCTGCAGAGAGTGGGACAAACAGCCCAGAAAAGGGAGAAGCAAGAAGATGTAAACAAAGTCCTAAGGGAGAGAGAGGAGCCCAACAACACGGCAGGAAGCGGGAGTCTGTGGAGAAAGATGTCCTGTGGGAAATTCCTTGTGGTGAGGGACCAAAGGACTTTAAACCTCTCTGTGTAACATTCAATTAAGTTCTTTGTATTTGATGATATAAACTTTTCCCTCGACCTAATCTCCTAATCACAATATCACACTTACTAAGAGGACTCAGGAGCCCTGGTGGCGCAGTGGTTAAGAGCTTGACTGCTCACCAAAATGTTGGCAGTTCAAATTCACCAGCGGCTCCCTGGAAACCCTATGGAGAGTTCCACTGTGTCCTATAGGTCACTATGAGTTAGAATCAACTCAACAGCAATTGGTTTGGTTTGGTTTGATAAGAGGACTCAAAACAATACAAAGTTTAAATTGTTCTAAACTAAAACTAAGCCAAACAACTTTCCGAGTAGGAGCTAATTCTATTACCTGTCTTTGCATTTCAAAGCTTCTAAATCCAAAAACTTTTAAGTACCAATTAAAAGTGTCAATGTTTTATCTGAGTTTTAACAAATGTAATAGCATTTATATTGTTCTAACAAATGTTAGCAGCATTTATATTGTTTTAACAAATGTAACATATTATCTGCTCTGTTTCAAAGAGCAAAATTACTACAGATGATTATAACTGGCAAAAAAAGTTGGATACAGCCATTTGTCAAAAGGCAGCCATGTTTTAAAACATCTTTAAATTTTAAGATAGACATCTACCTAGGGAACTATAAAAACTACTAGTTAACTGATAAGTTATTAACATAATGATTGCCCATCTCAATTCTCACCAAGATAAAACTTATCCTTCAAAAATATAGGAATAAGAGACTAACTGTACACATCTTAGTAACTAAGAATAATCTTACCTGTTGTAATACATATGCTAATTATGTACAAACAGCTGAGGAAACTGAAGCCTGCCAAATAACGTACCTCTGCTGGCCACTCGGGTGGCAATATATTTTGCAAAATAAGCCCCTCTCTGAAACTACCAACCCACTGACAGCATTTATACAGGAATCTCTGGTAATGATTCTGTCTTTCTAAAAACAGTACCTTGATCCTTTTGTGGTGATGGCTTTGATTTATCAGGTACAGATGAACTTGAATAAACTACAGCACCAGGTACTGGTCCTAAAGAAAGTGTGTGATTTGAGACATCATTTAACGAAGACACAGCACCCCAGCTGGCAGAGCCTGCATCCATGTCTCCAGGTGAGACTGCTTCAGAACTGCCAGGCTGATTCTGATAGGTTGACGGGTCTGAAGATTCAGAAGCTTTGTCAACTATGGTCATTGTTCAACTCTGCAAAAGACGAAAAGCATACGTTTGTTTCATAAAATGAGAAAAATAATCTATTTTTTCTACCACTAGATCTTGGAAAATTATCTAGTCACTCCTAATTATTTTTAAACAAATCACCCAAATATAAAAGCAATAGTATTTTCTAGCAGTTTTGCAATAGTTTCTTTGGGACAATTAGCATTGTGCTAACCTGAAAGCGTCAACATTTTTTTTATTTTAAAACCTTCAATAAAATACTTGATTAAAAGACCCTCTTTTTCTATTCCATGCCCCCTAAAAGTCTTGATATTTCAGTTTAAATCAATTTCCAATTCTATATATTTACTAAGTACCTGCATTTTTCTCTCTAGTGCTTAAAATTGGCACATTACATGCACTAGTACATTTGACTAAATTTTCGACCTGAGTATGATTCCTCAGGAAAACATCTCAACTACACGAAGAGAATATCTAGCTTTAATTTTGAACTTAAAGTCCAAAATGAAATTGTTTTATAGGCATTTTAAAATGTTATATTTATAGACAATCTCATCTTTAAAGCAAACACATTTTTCTGAAAAGGTTCATTTAGATGGTATGTATAACTTTTTAAATGAAGTTCTTAAGACACTACTGACATCAAACTTGAGCACAAACACGTTATGAAAGTATCATAATTTTCTCTCTGAATCCTATTTTAAATCTTAGAGCTACCAAAAATTGATCATTTTCTATGTGCTGGGCACTGTGTTAATCACTGTATATATGTTAACTTGCTTAATTTTCATAATGAACCTATGAGAGATCAGACAGAATCCACAAGGTCACACATACACACATCCACAGGGTCTATAAAACAAAGCAACTGTAACCCAAACTAGTCAGCAGCTGGGGCTATGAGCCAGGTCCAACATTCCCAGGTGGGGTTCCTTCAAGCCACATCACCCAGTTAACAGAATACTTTTAGGAATGTTCCCAAAACTGCCCAATGGCAGGCAGCATAGAAAAATAGTACCCTCCCCCAACCCAGCAGCCAAATGCAGCTGCCTAACACCTAGACATGGCAATGTCTGACCTAGTAATCTCTCCGCACACTCCCAGTGTTACATTCCCGCCACACTGAGCTCACTTCCAGTCTCTGCTCACTCTAGACTCTGCACAGGCTACTCTTTTTTCCCTACTCTCTTCCATTCTTCCACCTCCTGCCAGATAACACTTCCACTTCCGCATTAAGAATTAATTTCCTCCAGGAATTTAGTCAGTTGCAAAAGGACAAATACTGTATAAGACCACTATTATAAGAACTCAGGAAAAGGTTTAAATACAGAAGAAAACATTCTTTGATGGTTACGAGGGCGGGAAGGGAGGGAGAGGGTATTCTCTAGCTAGATAGTAGACAAAAATTATCTGAGGTGACCGGAAGGACAACACACAATACAGGGGAAGTCAACACAACTGGACTAAACCAAAAGCTAATAACTTTCTTGAATACAATCAAACACTTCAAGAAACAGAGTAGCAGTGGCAGGGGTCTGGGGACGATGTTTTCAGAGGACATCTAGGTCAACTGGCATAACAAAGTTTATTAAGAAAATGTTCTGCATCCCACTTTCGTGAGTGGCATCTGGGGTCTTAAAAGCTTTCAAATGGCCATTTAAGATGCATCAATTGGTCCCACCTACCTGGAGCAAAGAAGAATGAATAACACCAAAGACACAAGGAAAGTATTAGCCCAAGAAACAGAAAGGGCCACATAAACCAGAGACTGTATCAGCCTGAGACCAGAAGAACTATATGGTGCCTGGCTACCTCCAATGACCGCCTTGACAGGGAACACAACAAAGAGTCCCTGATGGAGCAGGAGAAAAGTGGAGTGCAGAACTCAAATTCTAGTAAAAAGACCTGACTTAATGGTTTGATTGAGACTGAAGGGACCCTGCAAGACATGGCCCCCAGACTCTCTTGTTAGCCCAAAACTAAAACCAACTCTTCAGACAAAGATTAGACTGGACTATGGGACATAAAATGATACTCATGAAGAGTGTGCTTCTTAGTACATGAGACTAAGTGGTCAGCTCCTGTCCAGAGGCAAGATGAGAAGTCAGAGAGGGTCAGGAGCTGGTTGAATGGACAAGGGAAATCCGGGGTGGAAAGGAGTGTGCTGTCACAGCATAGGGAGAGCAACTAGAGTCTCAAAACAATGTACGTATAAATTTTTGTAAGAGGCTAACTTGAATTGTAAACTTTCACTTACAGCACAACAATAATAATAATAATAAAATTAAAAAAAAAAAAAAGATTTCCTTCCAGGAACTTTCCTTGAGAAGCTCCCTTTCCCCCAAGATTGGGTTAGAAACCCCTCCTATGCGCTTCTACAGCTGATTCCTATGGTAGTACTTCAGCACTTTGCCCAGCCCGTTTACTTGTTACTCTACATCCTGTTGTTATTTATATCCCCTACCAGGCATACAGAGAGCCCTGGTGGCACAGTGGTTAAGAGCTTGGCTGCTGACCAAAGGGTCGGCAGTTTGAATCCACCAGTCGCTCCTTGGAAATCCTATGGGGCGGTTCTACCCTGTCCTATAGGGTCACTATGAGTCAAAATTAACTCGACCCCAATAGGTTTGGACCTGGCATACAGAAGGCTTTCACATGGTGAATAAATGAATGAACGCATTCTGGAGACGGGAAGTAGCCAGCATTTGCTTTTAGCACCAGCTTGTGCTGAGTGGGAGCCCTGGTGGCGCTGTGGTTAAGAGCTCAGGCTGCTAACCAAAAAGTCGGCAGTTGGAATCCACCAGCTGCTCCTTGGAAACCCTATGGGGCAGGTCTACTCTGTCCTATAGGGTCGCTATGAGTCGGAATCAACTTGACCGCAATGGGTTTTGTGCTGACTGATTTATACACAGTTATCTCATTTAAAACTTTAAATTAAAAAAAAACAAAAACTCTGAAGGAGGAATAGCCTTTAAAATATTTTTTTAAAAATATCTCCATAGAGTAAAGTACAAAGGATAATAACATGAGTACCCATGTACTTTCCATCTCAATGAATAACTGTTATGGTGCACTGTGTGTGCACAATAAGTTTGTTTTTAAATGCCTCAATTTTGTTGTTTGTAATTTTTTAATTAAGGAAAGATTATCACGCAAAAAAAAAGAAAAAAGAAAACCTTGAAAAAAGAGTTTGGAATCTTATCTGGAAACAGAAAAAAAACAAAACAAACCCACTGCTGTCAAGTAGATTCTGACTCATTGCGACCCTGCAAGACAGAGTAGAACCGCCCATAGGGTTTCCGAGGCTGTAAATCTTTATGGAAGCAGACTACCACATCTTTCTCTCGGAGTGGCTGGTGGGTTCAAACCCTGACCTTTCAGTTAGCAGCCAAGTGCTTTTAACCAGTGTGCCACCAAAGCTCCTTGGATATAGAAAGGTAGATAGCAACTAGATCTTAATAAATGAGAAAAACTAAGTTGAATTTTTTTAAAAACAAAAGCAAAAAGTTTTACTGAAGGCAAGACACAGTTTAAACTGGGGAAATACACTGTCCACAAAGTAAAACTGCAGTGCTCCGAAGTGGTCCAATTACAAAAGCTATTTATATGCTAAAACTGAGTTGAAATTTTAAGTCAATCTCAGATATTTGAGCCTCATTCAGGGTGAGCCATATTACCTAAACGAAGTTTATACTTTCCCCATTTCACAGTTAAAAGAAATTATGAAACTGTGGGGCGGGGGAGGGGGGCAGAAGAAAACAAAAGAGGAAGAGGAGGAAGAGAAGGAGAAGGAAAAGAAGATGAAAGCCAAAAGAGAGTAATTTAAAAAATTAATCCAGCCTTATTTATAGTGTTACATAGCAGCAAAAACCTTTATTTTCCCGGGATAAACATCCCTTTGGGGTAATCGTTAACAAATGATCAAATAAAAACCATTTTACTTGCTCCAATTACTGTTTTGAGGGGAAAAAACCTCTTAAATGAAAAAAATATTAACAAAAGCATGCAATTCAGTCATCAATAACTGTATAGCATTATAATTTTGGGAAGCTAAACAAAACCCACACATTCATTTGTATATATAGCCAACGAATTCTTATCCTAAAACCCTCAGGTATCAAACTAAACTCCATCTGCCACAGAAATAACCTTTCTAGACACCAAACAATGTTGTATGTGACTTAGGAATAATAAGGTTACATGTTCTTTACTCTCAGCAAAGCTTCAAACCTTACTGTCATGAATATCAAGTCTTCTAAGCCACTATTTCAAAGAAAAGTTAAAATTTTCTCAACATCTTCTCATGAGAGACATACAAAAAGTTACAACAGCATGTTTTAAAAAGTATGCATGCATGGGTTACAGTTGAATGTGTGTGGAGAAATGAGACAAATCAACTTTACAAGTGTCTCCTTTGCTTTACGTACAATCTTTTATTCAAAAGTCTTAAAATTCCAAGCCCCTTGTATTTCATCTTTGTAGTAACCAAATGCTAGAATGCATTATTCTTTTTCATTAAAATATATATACATATATAGCAATTTAAGCATCGTGAAACTCCACATACATTGAGGCAATAATATCAACACATGTGAAAAGAAACTGTTACATTTTACTTTATGTAAACAATGTAACTCACTTCTTGTAGCCTTTCCACTTTAACAGAAAGACACATACACAAGCTTTAAAAAAAGACATAACCTTGATTTTTATTACATTTAAGCAAATAAAACGACTAGCCTTACACCTTTATAAACTAAATACTGCAGACTTAATTAAATGATCTAGAAAAGAAAATGAAACTGATCCTAAGTAAAAACAATTAAGTGAAGCTGATTATTCATATCCCCTATGTACTTTGAATGAATAATTCAGTAAAAAAAAAAAAAAAGCAGAATTATGTTTAAAAATTTACAACTCTTAAAATAACTGCGACTCGACAAAAATCTGTAAGAACCTATAACACTGTTTCTACCTTTAAAAAAAGGCGCTAACCAGTTTTTTTTTT